CTGCCGGCGGCTGCCACGGGGCTGGAGGGAGAAAGGGGAAATCCTGCAGCAGCACGGCCCAGCCTGGAAACCCCCTATTCCCTCTGTGTCACGCAGGGCCCTATAGCCTCACCCCCCCCTCTTCGTGTTTACATTATCACCTATAGCATATATGGAGCTTCCTCGCTGCAAAATGCAGAGCAGTGTGACTTATTTCCTCCCCCAGCAATGTTGTCATTGCAGATGGGGAAACTGAGGCACGGGGCTGAGCTGGCTCCAGGCTCCCTGGCAGTGCCCAGACCCTGAGCCGCGGGTACCCCGTGCCCGGTGCTGGCTGTGCTGTGGCGGGGAGAACATGGATTTTTGGTGGCCGCCTTGCAGGGAGCAGCTCTGGGTCCTTCCCCGCCTGCGGTGGGGCCTGTCGCGCTGGGGCTGCATCGACTGCTGCCAGACCCCCGGCACCAGCCTGACCCCGGCTCCCAGGGGCTCCGCCTGCACCCACCGGCTCTGCCTGCACCCATGGCCACCTCCAGGCCCGGGGACGGAGCAGAAGCTGCCGCCAAGTGCCCTGGGTGAGGAGGAGGAGGGTGAGCGGCTGGCAGCGCTGCCTGCCCCGGCCACCCCTGTGCTTACCTGCTCGGGCTCGGCGGCAGGCGGGGACCTCAGGGTGCAAGCGGGGATCTCGGGGTGCAAGCGGGGGACTGTGGGGTGCAAGCAGAGGACCTCAGAGTGCAAACACGGATCTTGGGGTGCAAGCAAGGGACCTTAGGGTGCATGCAAGGATTGTGGGGTGCACGCAAGGGTCTCAGGGTGCAAGCAGGGAGACTGTGGGGTGCGAACAGGGATCTCGGGGTGCAAGCAGGGGACGCTGGGGTGCACGCAAGGATCGCGGGCTGCATGCAAAGATCGCGGGGTGCAAGCAGGGGACCTTGGGGTGCAAGCAAGGATCTCGGGGTGCAAGCGGGAGACCGTGGGGTGCAAGTAGGGACCTCGGGGTGCGGGCAGGGAGGCGGGCGATGCCCCGCACAGCCCGGCCGTGCCGGCGGGGCCGGCGGCTCGGCGCGGGGCTGCGCGCCCGGCGGATGTCGGGTTTAAGGTGGCCCG